TGAACAGTGTTTACAGCTGTAGGGCTTCTCACCCGAATGAGTCCGCTCGTGTGTAGTAAGATTTGATTTTTGAGCAAAACTTTTTGAACAGTGTTTACAGCTGTAGGGCCTATCACCTGTATGAGTTCGCTCATGCCTCGTAAGATGCGATTTTAGAGCAAAACTTTTTGAACAGTGTTTACAGCTGTAGGGCCTATCACCTGTATGAGTTCGCTCATGCCTCGTAAGATCCGATTTGAGAGCAAAACTTTTTGAACAGTGTTTGCAGCTGTAGGGCCTATCACCTGAGTGAATTCGCTCATGCGAAGTAAGATTTGATTTTTTAATAAAACTTATTGAACAGTGTCTGCAGCTGTAGGGCTTACCGCTAAACAAGACCCGTTCGTGATTTTTAAGGCGTGTACACTCGTGCTCCATCGAGTGGTTTATACTGGTAAAACCTTTGTAACATACTCTGCAACTATAAGACTCGTTGTCTATGTCGATGTATTTATGCTTTTTGAGATTGTCATTTGTTTAGTACACGTTACCACATACGTTGCTACTTTCGGCCATATTCGTGAAAAGCACAGGAGAACACCAGCTGAAAATGGATTGACCAAGTCAGTAGTCGTTGATGATTTTTTTACGGAGTGATATTTTTGCTTCAATCTTATGACAAAGGCACTTTGGCAATAAATTTTAATTATTTTTTTATTTTTTATTTATTCAACACAACGAGAATTTCGTCTATTTAATAGTACATTTAATGATAAATTTTCAGGATTCCAAAATTTTTATAGCAAGATAATATGTATAAAATAATACATAATATGTTTGTAATACTTTAGAAAGTCACGAAAAACTAAGTTAGTTAAAAAATTCTTACTTAAGTCTTTTTTTAAAGGACCAAATAAATAAAACGATTAATCCTTTATACAAAAAAAGTAAGAAGCTAATGTACTTGCGTCAAATACTGCCAATATGCAAAACTCATTTTGACAACTAATTCTAAACATAATAAAGAACTATCCTTTTTTACAATGCCAGACTTATTACACTGGTTTCCTCTAAAAGTGTTGAAATGTACTATTAAAAGAAATTTACAGTTTTGTATGCAAAAAAAGACATATTCCTAGTTTATTTTATTTAAGATTGCATTCTGATGTGACACTTTTTAAGAAAATTCAAAGTAGAGAGATTTTATTATTTTCCTATACTGTTAATAATTAAAAAAACTAAATGATATTTTAGTTACGATGAGAAAAAAACGAATTTATTCATAATAATTACATAACTCACCTTCACTTTTTAGAGTAGGGATTGTGGGATAAAATGATTGTTGGCTTGTCCAAGTTTTACTTTTTTCGCGATGCTAAAGTACAATAAAAGTTACTTTATAGACAAGTAAATATATATTAATTAAATACATCAACGATATTTTCAGCAAAGTATTCTTGGAATTATTTTCGGCAGCCAAAGAAGAAGCTTCGATGCACATAGTTAAACTAGCTTCAGCCAACTAACTTTCAGCATAGAATAAAGTTAAAATGTAGAAAATGATGTCACTGATAACGTATTTGTTGGTATTTTCTGTGCTCACTAACACTCACACTAACGCGTACAACAATATAATCAGCAGTCATTAGCTAGTCGCAGATAGTATACATACAAGTGATGTTTTTAAAAAATGCTGGTTTCATAAGAATCACATACTCTTTTTTGAAACCCATTACGATTATGAACTACTGAAACTTATTTGTACTATACATTTTTCCCTCACAATACAGTCCCATTGATAATGACCACTTTAAATTGGATGTGTAGAAACATTTATCACTCTAACAAGCTGTTACGAGCACCAGATACTTATTGGTTTGGAGTATAGGATTTCACCATATTTTTTTAAATACTAGACTTGGTACTAAAAGCTGCAAAAGAAAAAATAAAAGATCAAATCAATAGTAAATGTGCTTTCTTCACGCATATATTTTGTTACAATATAATGAAGTTAATTTAATACATATTTCATAGGAGTCACTTCTCTATGATGAAAGTTAAAGATTGTATTTGTACGAAATTAACATCGTAGACTGGAACTGGTAATTAATGTTATTTATCACTATTCGATTTAAATTAAATTTTAAGAATAATTTCAGTTTCACACTCCAACTGAAATTCACAATCAAGTATGTTTCATGAGAGAAAATAACCCCCAGTTATTTTTATTCCACATTTCTTTTCAGTCCCCAAGTACGTTGGACGACAAAGTTATAGATCTGAAATAAATACAACTTTCTGAAAAAATTTATCTGTTTTTCCACTCGTAATT